CCTGCTGGGCTCCAGCGATCCTTCCACCTCAGCTTTCCGAGTAGCCGGAATTATAGGCATGCGCTACCACACCCGGCTAATTTTTTGATTTATTGTAGAGATGAGATCTCGCTGCCCAGGTGGGTCTCGAACCCGTGGGCTCAGGCAATCCACTCATCTCAGCCTCCCAAAGGCACAGGATTACAGGCTGAGCTACCAAGCCCGGCTTGTAGTTTCTTTATGATGTTGTAATTCATATTTTCTAAATGATTCTTTTTGTTTTTTGGGGTTTTTATTTTATTTTATTTTATTTATTTATTTTTTGAGTTGGAGTCTCACTCTGTTGCCCAGACTGGAGTGCAGTGGCCGCTCCCGGCCACCGCAGCCTCGACCTGCTGGGCTCCGGTGATCCTTCTGCCTCAGCCTTCCAAGGAGCTGGAACTACAGGCGCACGCTACCACAGCTGGCTAATTTTTTTTTTTGATTTATTGTAAAGATGAGGTCTCGCCAGCCCAGGTGGGTCTCAGACCCACGGGCTCAGGCAATCCACTCACCTCAGCTTCCCAAAGGCGTGGGATTACTGGCTGAGCCACCAAGCTCGGCTATTTTTTTTTCTTAGTTGGAGTCTCTCCTGCCCAGGCTAGAGTGCATTGGCACACTCACGGCCACCACAGTCTCAACCTGCTGGGCTCAGGTGATCCCTCCACCTCACCCCTCCAAGTAGCTGGAACTACAGGCCCGTACCACCATGCCCAGCTACTTTTTTTGATATATTGTAGAGATGAGGTCTCGCCAAGTTGCCTAGGCTGGTCTCGAACCCATGGACTCAGGCGGCCCTCTCACGTCGGCCCCCCGAAGTTCTGGGATTATAGGCGTGAACCACTGCACCTGGCCCCAAATGATTGTTAAAGTTAGTGTGTACTCCACAGACACTAGTTTGCCTACCCTGGGATCCTGTTTTGGCATTGTGCTAATGAATCTAGGTTCCTTAGAACTTCATATCCCTGATGCAGGCTTCTGAAAGTAACCTACTTCCAGAACAATGTACATTTGTAAGGTGTAGTTAATAGTTCACACCTGTTATTCTAGCACTCTGGGAGGCTGAGGCAAGAGGATTGCTTGGCAGGATGAATGTTTGAGCCCAGGAGTTTAAGAACCATCTAGGTAACATAGGTGAGACCTCATCTCTATTAAAAAAAGTCAAAAAATTAGCTGAATGTGGTGGCACATGCCTGTAGTCCCAGTTACTCGGGAGGCTGAAGTGGAAAGATCACCTGAGCCCAGGAGGTCAAGGCTGCAGTGTGCCCTGATCATCATGTCACTCCACTCCAACTTGGCAACAGAGTGAGACTTTGACTCAAAAAAAAAAATTAATATGATTATTCTGTAAGTAAGCTTCTGAGAACTTCAAAGTGCTAGCTAAGTATTTTTTGGTCCAAGTAGCTTTAATTTTGGCATTATTCTCATTAAATAATCTTATTAAAAACCTGAATCTCTAGGCACTGTGGCTAATGCCTGTAATCCCAGCACTTTGGTATGCTGAAGCGAGAGGATTGCCAGAGCCCAGAGGTTCAAGACCAGTCTGGGCAATATGGCAAGACCGTGTCTCTACAATAAATCAGAAAATTAGCTGGGTGTTGTGGCATGTGCCTGTAGTTTCAGCTACTTGGAAGGCTGATGCAGAAGGATCGCCTGAACCCAGCAGGTTGAGGCTGTGGTGGTCGTGAGCATGCCACTGCACTCCAGCCTGGGTGACAGTGAGACTCCAACACAAAAAGAAAATTGTGGGGGGGGTTGTTTTTGTTTTTGTTTTCTTTTTAGTCAGGATTTTACTCTGTCACCCAGGCTAGAGTACAGAGTGGCATGATCATGGTCACCATATCCTCAACCTTCTAGGCTCAGGCAGTCTTTCTGTGTCAGCCTCTCAAGTTGCTGGAACTGCAGGCATGTGTCACCATGCCCAGCTAATTTTTTCTTTATATTTTGTAGAGAGATATCTCACTATGCTACCTAGGCTGGTCTCAAACTCCTGGGCTCGAGCATTCATCCCGCCTCGGGCTCCCAAAGTGCTGGGATTACTGGTGTGAGTCACCGAGCCTGGCCAATAATTGTTTAAGCCAGGTGGTGCTTATTAGCAACATGGGTGGACTCATTCAAATTACTTAACTTGGCCAAGCCCCAATTTCCTTCTTTGTAAAATGAGGTTTATGTTACCTTACATTGTACCACAAGAAAAAATAAGCTGGGCATGGTGGCTCACTCTTGTAGTTGCAACACTTTTGGAGGCTGAGGTAAGAGGACTACTAGAGACCATGAGTTGGAGACTAGCCTGGCTAACATAGCAAGACCCTGTGTCTAAAAAAAAAAAAAAAAAAGTTGTTTTTTTTTTTTTGAGTTGGAGTCTCATTCTGTCGCCCAAACTGGAGTGCAGTGGCCGCTCCTGGCCACCGCAGCCTCAACCTGCTGGGCTCTGGCGATCCTTCCGCCTCAGCCTTCCAAGTAGCCAGAATTATAGGCATGCGCCACCACGCCCGGCTGATTTTTTGATTTATTGTAGAGATGAGGTCTTGTCTACCCAGGCGGGTCTCAAACCTGCGAGCTCAGGCAATCCAATCACCTCAGCCTCCCAAAGGCGTGGGATTACAGGCTGAGCCACCGAGCCCGGCTAAAAAAAATTTTTTTAATTAGCTGGACTTGGTGGCCCACCTGTCATTCTACCTGCTCAGGCAGCTGAGGCAGGAGGATCACTTGAGCCCAGGAGTATGAAGCTTCAGTGAGCCATGATCATGCTACTATACTACACTCTATCTAGCCTGGGTGACAGAGTGCCACACTGTCTAAAAAGGGGAGGAGGATAATGCAAATATTACACCAAGCTATAACACCTGTTTCATAGTAAATTTTTTTTGTTTTTGCGTTGGAGTCCCACTCTGTCACCCAGGCTGGAATGCAGTGGCATGACTATGGTTCACCACAGCCTCAACCTTCTGGGCTCAGGCAATCCTTTTGCCTCACCCTCCCTAGTAGCTGGGACTACAGGCACATACCACCACACCTGGCTAATTTTTTTATTTTTTACTTTTTGTAGCCGTGAGGTCTCACCATGTTGCCTGGGCTGTTCTCCAACTCCTGGGCTCAAGCAATCCTCCGACCTTGGTCTCTCAAAGTGTATAGGCATGAGCCACCAAGCCTGGCTGAGTAAGTGTTTAAAAAATGGGCAGGATGTGATGGCTCAAGCCTGTAATGCCAGCCCTTTGGGAGGCCGAGTCGAGAGGATTGCCTGAGCGTAGGGGTTTGAGACCAGCCTGGGCAAATGGTGAGACCTTATCACCTCATTTCTACAATAAATCAAAAATAGGCCAGGTACAGTGGCATGCATCTGTAGTTCCAGCTACTTGGAAGGCTGAGGCGAAATTCTTCTTTGTTGATAATTGCTTCCTTTTTTCTCCATCTTCTCTCATCAGTTGATTTATGAAGACTGTATGGATCTGATTGCAAAGCTACCTTGTGTTGCAGCAAAGATCTACCGAAATCTCTACCGGGAGGGCAGCAGTATTGGGGCCATTGACTCTAAGCTGGACTGGTCCCACAATTTCACGAACATGTTAGGCTATACTGACGCCCAGTTCACTGAGCTCATGCGTCTGTACCTCACCATCCACAGGTGAGCTAGACCTAGGAACCACAGCCACCAGGTTCCTTGATTGGTGGGAAATTTTTTTTAAATCTCCTTTATGTTCTCATCTACAGATGGTAGGCAGCAAAGAGATGGAAACGTGACATAAGGGAGAATACACAGCAAGAAAGGGGGTATAGGAAGGAAGGTCTAGAGGGTAGGGAAATTACCATAACCATGCTAAGAATAAGATGGTGCTTCTAGCTGGGAAAAGACACTTACTGCTCACTTTGGGTGGTCCTTCGCCTTTCCAGGAGCTCCCTCTTCCGGCCATTGCTGTTAAAGCTGGGTGGGAGTCAGGGAACTGGGCACATAGGCTTCATCAACCAGTATCCTCTCCAGCTCTATGGATTAGTGAACAAACGCTGGTAATAAGATTAGGATATCTTTTATAAGAGCTTAGGTATGACTGACTGGCCATAGGCTGGTGTGAGCCCATATCTAGGCTAGTATGTGACAGATAGGCAAACAACAAGGTCTGTGTTCCCATAATCTGCCCTTTCTTCCCTTGGCTCTCCCTTCTTCCCCACAGTGACCATGAAGGCGGCAATGTAAGTGCCCATACCAGCCACTTGGTGGGCAGTGCCCTTTCCGACCCTTACCTGTCCTTTGCAGCAGCCATGAACGGGCTGGCTGGGCCTCTCCATGGACTGGCAAATCAGGTGAGGCTATTCTTTTTCTTTTCCTGATGCATGTTTTCCCTGCCCCCATGCTTTGTTCCTGATCTTGGCATTCTCTTCTGACATATGTACCAACATTCCTTTTTTCCCCAAACCTTACCCATAGGAAGTGCTTGTCTGGCTAACACAGCTACAGAAGGAAGTTGGCAAAGATGTGTCAGATGAGAAGTTACAAGACTACATCTGGACCACACTCAACTCAGGACGGGTAAGCAGAGATGCTTAGCAACTAAGAAAAAAGCCAAGACCCAAGTTCTGCAATTGGGAAACATTAAGAAAAAAAGTATGAGAGAGGTCTCCAAATTAGAGAATGAAATCTTTTTCCCCCATTTGTCTGCCCTGAAGAATTCAGAGAAGAATTTCTAACCTAGTGCAATGGCATACACCTATAGTCCCACCTACTCAGGAGGCTGAAGCAAGAGGATCCCTTGAGGCCAGGAGTCTGAGGTTGCAGTGTGGCGTGATCACACCTGTGAATAATCACTATGCTCCAGCCTGGACAATATAGCAACATCCCCTCTATAAAGATATATAAAAAATAAGCCAGGCGCAATGGCTCGCACCTATAATCCAGCACTTTGGGGGGCCGAGGCGAGAAGATTGCCTGAGCCCAGAGGTTCAAGATCAGCCTGGACAACTTGGTGAGACCTTGTCTCTACAATAAATCAAAAAATTAGCTGGACCAGGCTCAGTGGCTCAGCCTGTAATCCCACGCCTTTGGGAGACTGAGGTGAGTGGATTGCCTGAGCCCACGAGTTCGAGACCCGCCTGGGCAACTTGGCGAGACCTCATCTCTACAATAAATAAAAACAAAATAAGCTGGGCGTGGTAGCGCACGCCTGTAGTTCCAGCTGCTTGGAAGGCTGAGGCAGAAGGATTGCCGGAGCCCAGCAGGTCGAGGCTGTGGTGGCCGGGAGCGGCCACTGCACTCCAGTCTGGGCGACAGAGTGACTCCAACTCAAAAAAAAAAAAAAAAAATTAGCCGGGCTTAGTGGTGCATGCCTACGGTTCCAGCTCCTTGGAAGGCTGAGACAGAAGGGTTACCTGAGTCCAGCTAGTTGAGGCTGCGGGGGCTGTGAGTGTGCCACTGCACTTCAGCCTGGGGAAGAGGGAGGCTCTGTCTTAAAAACACCCACACACACACACACACACACGTGTATATAAAATAAATTTTTTTACCTGAAAATACCAACTGTCTTTTTTCCTCACGCTTTACAGGTTGTTCCAGGCTATGGGCATGCAGTACTAAGGAAGACTGATCCACGATACACATGTCAGCGAGAGTTTGCTCTGAAACACCTACCTAACGACCCCATGTTTAAGTTGGTTGCTCAGTTGTACAAGATTGTGCCCAATGTCCTCGTAGAGCAGGGCAAGGCCAAAAATCCCTGGCCCAATGTCGATGCTCACAGTGGTGTGTTGCTCCAGGTAAGTCCTCCTTCCCTGCTTCCTCTCTAATCTGTACACAACTATATTATTATCTCTCATGCACAAAAGCAACTCCCTAGTCAGAGCAAGGACCTCCCTCACTGAGCCTTTTGATGAAGTTGGCTGTGACAGGGCTGGGGTTGGGGTTGGAGTTGCTCTTTTCAAGATCCCAGTTGCTATACTTTTCCCACTGTCGTTTCTGTTGAAGGCTGACAGGGCTCAGTTCCTAGAGAAGAAGGGAGAATGGAGCTTCCAGGGTTTTTGTCACCCTGGATTTATACATGCCACTGCTTCTGCCCTAAACAAAGCCTTTTCCTTTTCTGTATTACAGTACTATGGCATGACAGAGATGAACTACTACACAGTTCTGTTTGGGGTGTCACGGGCACTGGGAGTACTGGCACAGCTCATCTGGAGTCGAGCCCTGGGCCTCCCTCTAGAGAGGCCCAAGTCCATGAGCACGGATGGTCTGATGAAGTTTGTGGACTCTAAGTCAGGGTAAAACTGGGAGCTGGGGGGAAAGTGACTCCCAGAAAGCGAGGAAGCTTTAAAAAAAGGATACTTTTGTTTCAGGGGCCTTTAAAGACTTAAGATTAAATTGTATCTGAGGCACTGATAATACATTTGAGGTTAAAATATAAATTAAGACTTTAAAAAGATGAAAAATGACCCCTTCTTCCCGAACTAGCTCCTTTCCTCTGCCTGGTATGAGTTGCTCATCAACTGTCGGGTGACCAGGACTAATGCATGTGGTGGGGTTAGGTTGGCCCCCATCACCTCTAAAGTGAGACTCCAGCTCCTCTTTCCCTGGGTCACAGCTGGTTGCAGAAAATCTGCAGTCACTTGGGAGCTTTTGCTTCTACTCTGCCAAGCCCTCAGTAGGCCACCAAGCCAGGACTCTGCCCCTTCTGTTTCCATAAGAGTCGTGTTGGATTGTCAGCTGTACCGAGCCCTTGGCCCACTCCCATGCACACAAACACCTCCTAGCAAGACCTGTTGGTTAGCTGGACATGCTTTGGCAATTTTTTAATGCTACCAGGTGACCATAAAAGCATGGCATTTGCTGTGACTGGTACCCAGTGTTCGATTTGATTTTTCTCTTTAAAACTACCCCATTAAAATTATGGTCTGGGAGTGTTCTGTTTCCCCTTACTTTAGTACTCACCTCTCACCTCCTTCCAGACTTTCTATACCTGCTGCACCTCCAGCAGAGGCTGTTTTGGACCTGTCTCGTCTTGGTCCCTACTAGTGACCTCTCTCAACAGATCTGTCTGATTTGTGGTCCCAATCATTGGGTTTTATCAGTACTTAATGTGAACTAAGCCTTTTACTTCCACAGGACACAAGCCACTACCCTCTGACCTCTCTCCCCACCTCCTTTTAATATGCTGTGGGGCATAGAACAGGGACTCAGGAATGACCAGGCGACATCTTCAGAGTCTGGTCCCAGGGGTACTAGTACCTCTTATTGAACAGGAAAATGATTCCAGATCGGACATAGTCTCCTCTGATTCTCGGGTCCTGGGGCTGGGGCATTAAAAATAGTAGGCCTCTTTCCTCATCCCCTGCCTTCAAGAAAGTGCCCCCTTATTTATCAGTGCCCCTCTTCTGCCCCTTCCCCAAGAGCTCACAGTACAAAGTTTGTTTTAGAAGCCCCATACGGACAGGTTTTCAGCGACTCGGACAGGTTTTCAGCGACTCGATGCTCTACCGCCTTTTCTTTGAGAAAAGATTAAGATACACTCCTGCTGTGCCCCCTTCTTTCCCAAAAGCTCCTGCCTGTGTTTGTGTGGATCCCCCACCCCCAGAACCACGCTGTTGAGATGGACACACTGTAAACCCCTGGATAACTGTCAAGTTATGATGCAGACTTCAGGTTGTTCTGTATAAAATGCAAAATAAATGTTTTTATTAACAATGCTTGAGCCTGCTATTAAATAAGGCCTGGAAGAATATTATGAGTTAAGGAATATGGCTAGCAAGATCTCGAGCTTAGTAGGTTGTAAGTTATCCTCTGCCTCCCTTTCTTTTGAAGCAGATTTGGCCTTCTTTGACCCTAATCAGAGGAAAGTTTTCCTGGGAGATTTCCAGTGGAGATTTCTGTCCTTCCTAAGGCTAAGAAGTCCTTGGTCTTTAGCCCCTAACCTTCCCAATTTTGTCATAAGGTAGAACACTCAAGGACTATCAACTGCCTATGTGACTAATGCAAGAACCGGTCTAGCCCACTGGGTGAAAGGAACAAATTCTACCAAGGACAAATGGGCTAGGACCGCTAGCTCAGGACTGGAGCCACTAGAGGGCTCTAGTACTTCTTGGAGTAGCTAACTTTTTGCAGCTTCCCTTAAGGAGGTCCCCAAAATAACAAGAGGTGGTCCTGAGGGCATCAGATATATGGAAAGTCTGAGACCAGATGATTCTGTCCTGAGACTCTTGCTGCAACTGACCTTCTGAAAAAGTCTATAAATAGGCAAGGGGGTGGGTACTAGGTCCTGGCTTGTAGAATGTGCTACTATAGTTAGCAGGGACACTGTGTCCAAGAGGCCTAGGCCTTCTTACACCTTCACTCTCTCAGGGAAGGAAGCCATCAAATTTTTCTACTCTGCTATATCTACATTATTCCCCCAAGAAATAATACAATAAAACCAAATTCACACTGTCACAATTTATTGACATTTTATAAAAACTCAGGCCAAGTGGAAGCCCAAGAGTACAGAGGCAACTCAGTTCTGTGTTTTGTTTTATTTCCTCCTTGGCCCTGCGGCACTGACGGTAAGAAAGCCCCTTGCTTTCCACTAGCCAGGCAGCGTGGGAATATCCTTACAGTGAGGCTTATGTATTTCAGGCTGGGGGCAGGTTGGCTTTTCTTCTGGGGAGATCTCAGGCAGGGCAGAAGCTACTTTCCACCCAGGACCTCTGTGCTAGAAGAAAGGCTCAATTTATATAATGCTTGGAAAAGTGATTGTCTTCCCCTGGTCAAACACTAAGGTGTCCACACAGTTCTGATTCTAATTCATTGTGAAAAGGCTACAGGCATATGGGGCTCTCAGGATGGGCCTGACCCTTTCTTGGCATGTCATATTTTCAAACCCCCTGTCTTTCCCCCAGAATTTCTGATCAGCATAGAGCCCAGTTTCTGGGGAAATGAGAGAAGGAACAGTATTAAGAACACAGATCCCTCTCAGATTGGGGCAGAAGCCAAACCAAATAAATAAACTGGGTAGGGAGGGGGAGTAGAGGAGAGGTTAGGGAGCAGTCCTTTGCCTCAAGTCTGGTGCACCTCATGGAACATCAGTTCACGGGGGATGGCTGTTTCTGGACCAAACTTGGTGGCTGCCCGACGCTCAAAGGCAGCAACATTCTGTTTGACAACCTCATCAAAAAACATGGTGGCCAGTTGGGAGTGCAGCAGAGAACGAAACTCAAAGGAAATCTGGGAATGGGTAAGAGACAGAAACTCTTCAAGACCACATCGAATAATCCCTGGCCAAATGCAAAGAGGGTTCCTGGGTGCCTTTTTCCCCCCAACCCCTTCAGTTCTTGGATCCCCTCAAGAGCCCTAACAGGGCTGAGCACAGAATACAACATTAATACAAGCTCAGACCTGTGAAACAGTGATGGACTTGGGAAATGCTAAGCGTTAGCTATACTTAAAAGAACAACCCTGCCACAGTAGCTCAGCCTTGCCCCACACCTAGTCCCAGCTCTGCTACACAGCCTCCTTCCTGACTCACCGAAAAGTCCACAGTGCAGGTTCGGGGGTAAGCAGGAATACCAGGGCTGAATCGCCAAATGGTCTCTAAATGGTTGAAGAGCTTGCCATCAGTACAAACAGCCTAGAATAGGACAATCAGGCAGTTAAACAGTATTACCAAGTAGAAGAGACAGTACAAAGGAATTGAAACCATTTTCCTTCAACTATTTTATTAGGGAGATATTTGACACATGGAGATAAAGTCATTAACATCATTACCAGCAAGGCCAAAATAGCCCTTTAAAGTGAAAGTGCTAAGGAACACAACTTCCTGGTCAATCCCTCCCATACAGGCCTCACCTTGACCATGTGAGGTTTGACCATGGAAACTGCTGAGGTGTAACGTTCTATCACAGGTGGAAAGCCAATCTCCAGCTGGGCCTTCAGGTGACCCTTACGGCTGGATACCACCAGAGACTTCTTACAGTAGGGCACAAACTCGCGATACTCCTGAACGTTCGACACGACTTCATACATCTCCTGCATTGAGTACCTAGGGGAAGAGGAGTCAGAGAGGCCAAGGAACTGCCCAGATTCCTCCCTGCCATAGGCCCCCAGTGCATACCTTTGCCCACTAATCATGCGCCTTCAAAACTAGAGATCCCAAATAAGCCTGAATGAATTACTTCCCAAGAGCAAACATGCAAATCCCGTGATGTGAATGTTATTTTATGTTTAGCAATTTACAGAATGCTTTTGTATTCATTATTTTTATCCTAAGGGACCATCTAGGGAGAACAGAGAGGCTGTCAGTTTTACTGGTGATCACACAAGGATCAGATCCCAGGTCTAGAGCTTTCCAACACTGTGGCCCTAGGTAATTTAACTATGCCTCCGTCTTCTCATCTATAAACCGGAAGCAATAACAGTACCCGATTTGTAGATATGTTGAGAGTTGAATTAAAACACTTGGCCGGGCGCCGTGGCTCAAGCCTGTAATCCCAGCACTTTCGGAGGCCAAGGTAAGGATTGCCTGAGCCTAGGGGTTCAAGACCAGCCTGTGCAACTTGGCGAGATCTCATCTCTACAATAAGTCAAGAAAAATTATCTGGGTGTGGTGGCACACGCCTGTAGTTCCAGCTACTTGGAAGGCTGAGGCAGAAGGATCGCTTGAGCCCAGCAGGTCAAGGCTGCTGTGGCCATGAGCATGCCACGGCACTCCAGTCTGGGCGACAGAGTAAGCTGTCAAGGGAGGATAGGATCGTTAATACAGCTGCGGAGGAGGACAGCCAGGGGTAAATCTGCCCACAAAAGATACCCTCCCATCCTAGCCCAGACATGATTACTTGGAGAGGGGAGGTGAAGGATGCAGGACAGAGGACGCTCACCCCATGATCCTACGCTCGGAGTAAGCCTTCCGCTTGTTGGTGAAAGGGGCAGCAAAGCCCATGAAGGACCGGCTGGGAGGTAGGCCAGCCTCGACCGCCAAGGCCTGGGCAGCCCGAGGCAAGAGGAGGCTGCAGGAGGTCAGAAGCCTAAGGCCAAAAGGGAAAAGGTGGCAACCTTACGCTTTGTATTCGTTCCTCTACCACCATTCCTGGGGAGAGGGGAAGAGGGGTGCATCCCAGAGGAAGGTCGTCCAGACACGCTTCCCCTCAGCACCTGCTGCAGCCCGCCAGGCTCGCGCGCTCTCTGGCCAGGCGGTCACGAGTGCGAAAGGTCGAGGGCGCCTCAGGACAGGGCCAGGGGTGGGGATGGGAACAAGCAGGGTGCGTGCGAAGCACCGGTTGCCTTTGACCTGGGCCACGCTACTGCCGAAAGCCAAGACTGTCAGGAAGCACCGCCGCCCCCGGAGCCCCACCGCGAGGGGAGAGAAGCGGCCGTCCCCCACCCCGAGGGGCCCCTCCCGCAAAACTTGCAGGAGCATTCTCCAGGCTCTCCGTTAGCTCCCAGGGCATGACAGCGGCCAGCCCCGCCGCGGTCGCAACGCCCCAGGGCCGAGCGGCGGGGTCCCCAGCGAACCCCTTCCCCCGCGCGCGGACGCCCGCGTCCCGCTCTCACCTCATTGGTCCCGGCGGTCGCGGGCCCG